CCCAAACCTCCTCACTGAATACCCCGCGACCAACAGTTTCAAAACAGCCATGAGAGAAAAGATGTCTCCTCAGTTCCCGCCTGTGGATGAGAGCCAGTTTGGTATAGTGGTTATGTGCCCAGACTCTAATCTGGGAGAACCAGGTTTGATTCCCCACTCCTCCACTCGCAGCTGCTGGATGCCCTTGGGCAAGCCATAGTTCTGACAAGAGCTGTCTTGAAAGAGCAGTTTCTGTCAGATCTCTCTCAGCCCCAGCTACCTCACAGGGTGTCTGCTGTGGGGAGGGGGAGGGAAAGGAGATTGTAGGCCGCTCTGAGACTCCGAGTGAAGGGCGAGGTATAAATCCAATCTCTTCTTCTTCTTCCCTTTTGGGAAGAGAATTTTTGAAGCACCTTGATATATCCAAGTCCTTCCATTTAAATTAGGTACTTTGTCCGAAACTGAATCGCCCCCTTGGGTCAGGTTTATTGCTTCAGGGCTCCAGATTCACTCAACGCCCATTGTTCCTGATCCATTACCCACTGGTCCTCAACCCCAAAGCAATCGCCAGGGGTCTTCAAAAGGCTCAATGCTGCAAACCGCAACCTCGCATTCTACCTGAAACGCCTTCCCACTTGACTCCAACCTTGCTCTGGCAAAAAAAAATGTTCAGCTCTGTCCATCGTATTCGACGAAGAATGCTGCGTAAGCCCTAAAGCTTGCACTCTCCAGCATCAGCAGAAAACCAGCCCCGTTATAAAAGGAAACAGATTCTTGCATCCTGTCTTCCAAGACCCAACACAGAAACAATTGCCCAGGTCAGACAACGTTTTGTAAAGCATGGCAAAGAGTGTTGTGTAGTTCAGAAGACTTGCTGTGTTTATCCCAGGAAAAATTTTCACGGTGAAAAAGACGGTGTTACCTGTTGCTGTATACAGTGACTCCTGGAGCATTACTAAACTGTTCTTTAGAACCAGGGACTCACAGCATATGCACGCATGTTCTTTTAGGATACTGTTGTCGTTTTGCCTTAAAATGCATGTATAATCTATTTGGAAACTCACACACACAAAGAGGAGAGTCAGTGCTTCTTGGAGCAGCCAGGAATGGTGGGCAGAAAGCCAAGGCCTGCATAAGTTGGCATTTCATCTGGAAATCTATTTTCAGCTGCAATCATTAATAATTCTCTCTCCCCTGTCATTCTCCTGTCCAGAGGAGAAAGGGCGAGGTCCAGCTAGGATGAGCGAGGTTTGCATTTTAAGGGAAGCTGATAATCTGGAGGTCAGGCATGTGCTCTGCGCATGCTCAGAGCCCCTCTTGATTTGGAAACTTCTGCCTGGCCTTGCAGGTTCAGGCCTGGGCCCCATAGAGGCCGATTAAGTTTTCTACATGATCAATTGCAACAAACAAAATTAACATCACGCTGTTGAAGTTTACTACTGATATAAGGCCCTAACGTTCAAATTCACATGACAGGTCAGTCAGTAGGTACGAGCCATAAAGGCTACAATGAAACCTCCACCTTCAGGGGCAGTCTACCATTGAACAACAGGTGCTGGCAGCAAACCAATGTCAATGTGTTTTTCCACCTGCGCCAGGTTAGGTAACTGGCTCCCTACCTGTCTTCCCCCAGCCTAGCCACAGTAATCCACGCAATGGTCACCTCCAAAATAGACTGATGCAATTCACTCTACCCTAGCCTACACTTGTGCTTGATCTAGGAGCTCCAACTGATTCAGAATGTGGCCGTGTGGGTCCTTGAGAGCCAGTTTGGTGTAGTGGTTAAGTGTGCGGACTCTAATCTGGGAGAACCGGGTTTGATTCCCCACTCCTCCACTTGCACCTGCTGATGTGACCTTGGGTCAGTTACAAGCTCTGGCACAGCTGTCCTTGAAAAAGGGCAGTTTGTGTCAGAGTTCTCTCAGCCCCACCCACCTCACAGGGTGTCTGTTGTGGGGAGGGGAAGGGAAAGGACTTTGTAAACCGCTCTGAGACTCCAAGTGAAGGGCGGGGTATAAATCCAATCTCTTCTTCTTCTTCTTCTTCTTACAGGGACCCCTTGGACGGTCCACATTCATCCAGTGCTGCGCAAGCTGCACTGGATCCCAGTGGAGCACCAGATCTGGTTCAAGGCCTTGGTTTTGACCTTCAAGGCTATTAGCATTAAGCAACCTTACATATCTTTGGGACTGCCTCTCCCAATGTGTCCTGGATGAACACTACATTCTAGCCAGTATGGTGTGAGAGCCAGTTTGGTGTCGTGGTGAAGTGCACGGACTCTAATCTGTGAGAACCAGGTTCGATTCCCCACTCCTCTACTCGCAGCTGCTGGATGACCTTGGGCAAGCCATAGTTCTGTCAGAGGTGTTCTCTCAGCCCCACCTGCCTCACAGGTTGTCTGTTGTGGGGAGGGGAAGGGAAAGGAGTTTGTAAGCTGCTCTGAGATTCCTTTGGGTAGTGAAGGGCGGGGTATGAATCCAATCTCCTCCTCCTCCTCATTCTTCTTCGAATAAGAACCTCCTGGTGGTCCCAGGCCCAAGAGAGATCTGGCTGTCCTCGACTGGGTGCAGGGCCTTTTCAGTCCTGGCCCCCATCTGGTAGAACTCTCTGCCAGAGAACATCCGTGCCCCATGGGATTTACTACCTGTCCATATGGCTTGCAAGGCAGAGATGTTCCTCCAGGCATCTGGTTGAGGACAGCAAAGTTCCAGCGATCTCACACTCCCCATTCCCCCCCCCCTTTGTCCATATTTCCCCTCCATCCAAGGGTCAGGTGGACACTGAAATCATCCCTCATCTTGGAAACAGTACTATTTTAAGAAGCCAGGTAAGTTGCAGAGCCCCCTCCCCCTGGTCCCCCAGTCCAAAACAGTCCAGTGGCTCATTTAAGACCAAGTTTTATTCAGGTACAAGCTCTCCCTCCTCTGTGAGGGACAGATCTGCACATTCCCCCCTCCCCAAATAGCTAGCAATCCAAAACAGTCCAGTGGTACATTTAAGACCAAGTTTTATTCAGGTACAAGCTCTCCCTCCTCTGTGAGGACAGATCTGCACATCCCCCATCCCCCCCAATAGCTAGCAAGCCAAAACAGTCCAGCAGAGCCTGAGCAGTGGATGTTGCCTTCTGGCACACTTCCGGTGATGCCAGGGGGTGTGGCATATGCAAACAAGTTAATGAGTTATGCTAATGAGCCCCTGCACCTCTTTTTCTCCAAAATGACCCCTGTAATCTGATGAACTGCTTTAATATATACCTTCACCTCCAGCCTACCATGGTTGTCTCTAGCCTGTACCCGCCGCCGCATAATAAGTGAGCGAATTGAGCTGGTATGAAAGCTATGGTAATCATACGGTCACTTAAGCCATATTAGAAATAATGTTTGCTCTTGCTTTTTACCTGATAATGTTCCAGCATTTTAACTGTGTTTTAATTGACTGTTGTTTATATTATATGTTTATACGCTTATATAGGTTTTCATTGTATTTTTATGAAATATTGCATAAGCCGCCCTGAGCCCGCCTTCGCAGGGAAGGCGGGGTATAAATTGAATTAGCAAAATAAAATACATAAATATATGTTAATGTTTTAATTTTCTTATATATCGTGTCTGCCTTCGATGCAAGCTGCCCTGAGCCCTGTTTCAGGGAAGGGTGGCCCAGCACACTGAATGAAATAAACCACTATACCACATTGGCGCTCAGTTGGGTTGCCAGCTCAGGGTTGGAAAATACCTGGAGACTTTGGGGGTGGGTCCGGGAGAGGGTGGGGTTTGGGGAGGGGCCTCAGCAGGGTACAGTGCCATATAGAGTCCACCCTCCAAAGTAGCCACTTTCTCCAGGGGAGCTGATCTCTGTCAGCTGGAGATCAGCGGTAAAAGCGGGAGATCTCCAGGCCCCACCTGGAGGCTGGCAACCCTTAGCGCTCAGTCGGCCTGCGGCTCCACCACGAACTCCCTGACCTCACTCGTTCACGTCTGAAAAGCATGCCCAGGAGCCAGGCCAAAGGGGTGGCCAGTCGAATGCTCCCTCTAAGCCAGTGGTGGCAAACCTATGGCACGGGGGCCAGAGGCGGCACTCAGAGCCCTCTCTGTGGGCACGCGTGCCATCGCCCCAGCCAGGCCCAGACCATCATTCAAGTGTCGAATTCTCTGCCAAATTATTTTAAGAAAATGAAAGCATTTGGGATTGCTTTCCTTACTTTGTTTGGATCCTCTTAAGTGAATGTATGAGTGGTTTTTTCTAAAGTAAAACCTCCGTATTCAGGTTCAATTGCCCTGTGGGCACTTTGCGATCAATAAGTGGGTTCTGGGTCGCAGTTTGGGCACACGGTCTCTAAAAGGTTTGCCATCACTGCTCTAAGCTGTGGAGTCCGGTGAGCAAAAATCCTACTGGGTGAGCTCCTGCCACGAAAATTGTGAG